GGCAGTTAATATTGTTGTTGTCCCAGATACGAATTTCATCCTACACTTAAATCAGTCTGATGTGTTGACATTATTGGGCTGTTTGTGCCCGTATTTCCGGTAGATCTGTAAGAATTTTTCCGGTGTTAATTACAATTTTTTGGAAAATAATTAACAAAACGTTGCACAAAATCAAAGGAAAGAAAGCGTCGGCACAATAAACATAAATGCCACATATTCTGCAACACAGATTACCGCTCCGTTAGCCTGGCGGTTTGAGCCTCCGCCTTCGATGCGAAGGTGGTGGGTTCGATCCCCGGCCGAGTCATGCCAAACACTTAAAAAATGGTACTAACAGCTGCCTCGCTTAGCGCTAATCATTAACAGATTAGTGTTAGGACTGGTCGGCCTGGTACCAGGATAATGTGACTGGGTGAGACATGATGCTACGTGTCTGAAGCATGATGTCCTAGTCCTAGACATCACTTTAAACTGCCACACTACAGATATCGCAGCGATATGACTGACAAATTGTTAAAGCTACTTTAAAAATCCAAATCACATACACACGCGAGCACGCAACACATTACTTTAAACAGTTGTATATGCTCCTATACAGTTTTGCTAATGGCTTGCTGTAGTTATCATATGAAATTCTTAGCTTATGAACTAGGTTTTATATTACCTCTATTACTTGACCTCACGATCTAGAAATACATTGCAATACAACGTTGATTTTTATTTATTTAATTTATGTAACTCTGTGCCAGAGACAAAATTCCATAGGAATATCTAGGCCGTCAGGTCGAGACTATGTTCCTACGCCGTATGAAACGAGTTCTTTCTTCCTACTCTGAACAAAAACATTTAAGTGGGTTTGCATTTATTACATTTCTCATATTATTTACACCTTTTTATTTTTAATATATATATATATATATATATATATATATATATATATATATATATATATATATATATATATATATATATATATATATATATATATATATATATATATATATATCACAGACGAATAAGTTATTTGGCTTTTTATGAACGATATTGTAAACCCATTCGGGTGTACGTATCTGGGAACTTGATCAAATATCTACTGTGGAGTTTCGTTATTGGTCTGTCTGCATTACCGATATGATGATTAACTTTGAATTTTTACAAATGTTGTATGGGACATATGAATGGATTTAATCTGCAGTCACAAGCATGTCAATTTTCAACCTTATTTCTCATATGGAGCATAGGTTTTGTTTAGACCAGTAAGGGGCCTTTTTCTTATCACTCTACCTACTGAATAGACACTCTAATTCCAAGCAAATTTCAAGGTAGAACCGACTTACATTTATTAAATATATTGAAATTTATTCTGTTAATTTACAGTACAAACTCTATTGTTATGTTGTTGTTGTTGTTGTTGTTGTTGTTGTTGTTGTTGTTGTTGGGCTTAACACCATTTTTCAGCACACGATATTGTTATGTACATATTTTCCATTTTTATGTTTTCATTAATACAAAATAATTGCTGATGCAATGAACTTAAAGAGATATTTTAACCATATATTTTTAAGAATAAGAAAATTCGGTTCTTTCTAACATGCGAACTAGTTATTTGAGAGTCCTATTAATCTTTTGTAAATTTAATTAAGAAGTAAATTCTAAACAATAATGCACTAGCGTTGTTTTGTTCTTTGTATTTTCTACTTAAAATAGTCACATGAATTTTATAAGTTCGCATTATGTGATTGATACACAATTGAAAAAGTAAAAACATTGTTACAAGATTTAATTCGTATAACTTTGCGTCAATTTCAAAGCAGCTGCAACTCTTTGCGATCGTCTAGTTCGATAAATCAATCCCCTAAATCTGTGTTGATACTGATGGACGATATGTAGGTCTGAAGTCACCTGTTCATTAAAATTTGCTATTTTTATGCATGCAAATCTTTCCGGAACAAACCTGCGTATACGTTACACACATACCAATAACTGGTATCAGCCATATCTAGCGCGAAATTCAAATTGGCCACGTGACAGGATTGAGCTTTTCCAAGTGGATTTACAAGTCACCAAACATAGGATTTGCTCCTGAAATATAATGTCCATGCCTCCAAAGGAATCCTTCATCCGATGGAAGCTTCATAGCTGCAAGAGATACCGGTAAGTGTATAAAATGTACACCGATGCGTGCATCCAAAATTTGCTGCAGATGTTTGCATGTTTTAATGAACAGGTGATATCAGTACCTAAACCACCAAACAATATTATCACGGGAGAGGAGCTGATTTATCGATCCATGATATGTCTACCTTTATGTTGAAGCTTCTTCTGAGAGAATTCAGTTAAGTCTATTTTCTCAGCCTAGAAATATACCTAAACTGCCCTTCGCTATTTACGGTAGGCCTACTCTTCCATTATTCGGCCATTTTCACCAAATATGACTGCATTTTTTAAAATTACAAATGCGTATTGTCATATTTGAATGATTTAAATGTATTGTAATTAATCGTTCTGGCATATTTTGTAAGTAGACTATTATTTAATATTTCAAGCTCTAAAAATAATTCCAAGGTTTGGTGTGCGAAAAGGAATGGAATGATAGACAGAACGATTGTATCAAACGCCAGAGCAGAAGTTTAAGATAAAATGGGTATCTAATAAAATGTTTATAACGTGGAGCTATGACGCTAAAGAAAAATCATTTACATGACGTTTCAAGAAGTACTTCAAAAAAATGTTAGCTGACACGCTAATCACTTGCTCTCCTATATTTAGTAAACTATTGCTATCTCTACAAATTTTATCTTCTTTGTCAAATTCCATAAACTAAGTTTGAAACTATAAGTGAGTATATATATATATATATATATATATATATATATATATATATATATATATATATATATATATATATATATATATATATATATATATATATAATCATTAACAATCTGACTTTTCAGCTTTATGTATTTATATAGTTAAGTGGTAGATAAATTACTTTTTCTGTAAAATTATCTTACATTCAGTGATCCAGTCTGATAATAATAATAATTAGTAAGTGACATTGTAATTGTAAAAGAAAGTAGTCTGTCAAGACCCACAAGCGAAATAATGACAATATTGTATACGGTTCTTTACATTACTTTTGTTGATAAACTATTGTATCAATCAATTTCTAATTATGAAGTTTTATTTGTTTACGCAATAAACTGTCCACAATAAATCAAACTATATATAGAATCTGGCATTATGTTGTTGTTATTGTTGTTCATGATGATGATAATGATGATGATGATGGTGATGATGATGATGATGATGATGATGATGAATTTTAGCACATCTAACCTTAAGATGAAACGCATTATTAGAATCTGGACCCGTTTTAATGGTCTTTACAGAAACACCTTTTATTCACAGTGCATTTAAAATACAGTGAGAGAAATATAGAATGGATTCAATGTTATGCACATTAGAAACAACGTTTTCTTTAGGTTGGGGGGTAGAGCAGCTTGTCAATTAACTGTTATAAGTTTATATAAACTGAATTGTACTTTGTATGTATGTAATACGTTGATGGAAGACTTCTTACTGAGCCTTAATGCCTCAATAAGGAAAGGATACACATAGTTAGATATTATTGATTTATTCATTTTTTTTATTTTGATTTTACGCAAATTTTTATGTCTTCTATAATACCGTAGGAACCCAGTCTCGTATTTTATGGAATTTAGTACACACCGGAACAACATAAAGTGATAGTGACAGGATTTCCTAATTTTATTATCCTATGTGATAGTCCTGGGGACGAAGTTATTTGTGTATCGTGCTCACTCAAGTGATTCTGTTTTGTACCCGTTATAATGGTCGATAAGGGTCAACACATATACATTGCACACACTAACTTTAAGACCCGCGATAAAAAAAGCACTTCAATTATACACTTTTTTCCTCTGGCCGTCTACAAATACAAAGTATCGCAAATTTGTGCATGTACACATTATAAATACAATTTATCACTTTGCGTTATAAGTGGTCGTTATGTAGAAGACGATCAACCGCGGATCGAGCAAACAATAAAAATACAATATGACATTAAGGGATGGAATAACATAGATCTGAGAAGAGATATAGAACAGAACAACGCGAGCCCTCTTATGTAAATTTAAAAAAGAAATAATTAGTTAAAATGAAATCGGTAAAATAAAATCGGGCATGACATTTGAATGAAGAGAAAGAGAGTTACAAGACTTACGCAAAATTCAATTAAACGTTCTGTACTGTTAGAAGAAATTTCATCATAAAACTGAGTGACTAATCTAACTCAGATTGCAGGCATGTCAGCATCACCTGGTGCTTCCAGTCTTTTTCCGAATCACTCCTGGTAATAAACCTGCGCGTGTGTGTGTGTGTGTGTGTGTGTGTGTGTGTGTCTCTCTCTCTCTCTCTCTCTCTCTCTCTCTCTCTCTCTCTCTCTCTCTCTCTCTCTCTCTCTCTCTCTCTCTCTCTCATTTCATATGTTATATTTATGAAAGCATTGCTATGAATTTGATTCTCGGATAAAGAAGCGAGTAAAACTGAAGTCTCGTTGATGTCACGCGAAAGAAGAATTCTGGTGTGTTGCTTTCCTTTAATATCAAGTAATGTGCATATAAGCGAATAATATTGCATAGAAACGTTTTTTTTTCAGCAATAAAGCTTTAACAATTGTCCAGTCATATTACTACGAAGTCTACACTGGTAGTTTATATATATATATATATATATATATATATATATATATATATATATATATATATATATATATATATATATATATATATATATATATATATATATATATATATATATCAATGGTGGATCGTGCAACAGACATGTAGTATGATGTCCTGCCCAGTCATAGTATTAAGACACCAGGCGAACAGTCCTAACAGTAAACTACTGACTTCTTAAAGCGGAGCGCCTAGCAATACAGTTGCTAGTACCATTATTAAAAGTCTGTGGTATGACTCAGCCGGAGTTCAAACCCGCGACATTCCGCATCGGAGGCGAACGTTCTAACCTCTTTGACCACCGGATCGGTCTAAATTTTAATGGAGATAAGTGTTTAATACTGCAACTTCCCTGAAACCTTCTAGTGCGACGACAATTAAGAAAACAACAACAACAATGAGGGCAAAATAACTATACTACCACTACAACTTCTACTACTACTACTGTTACTACTACTACTACTACTACTACTACTATTATTATTGCGATACCTGACGATGATGACGGTGAAAACAACAAACAATTACTACTATTAGAACTGCTATAAAAGATGATGACGTGTAGTCATAAAAGAATTTACAAAGTCCAAGGGCCGGATCGAGGGTTGGATGGGGGAATGGTTTGCGGACCCCATACCCCGATCATGAAAATCCGTACACACAAACGTAGTTATTTGTCACTTGAAATTTAGCCATCGTTTCATTCTTGCGCATGTTTTTTTCAGTATCAGGCACACTTTTAGTAAATAAACAAAAAGACTTTTGCTTTGGTGCCCTTTCGATGAAAGTCAGGATCCTTTTGAAATTTTGGAACCCCACCCCAACTCTCTCTCTCTCTCTCTCTCTCTCTCTCTCTCTCTCTCTCTCTCTCTCTCTCTCTCTCTCTCTCTCTCTCTCTCTCTCTCTCTCTCTCTCTCTCTCTCTCTCTCTCTCTCTCTCTCTCTCAGGCCATGATTACGACTGGCAACAAGAGAGTGTAAAACCTCCTACGGTTTAAAGTACAACTGCAAATAAATAACAGGATAATTACACATAAAACAAATCCCATTCGAGTGGATTGGCATAAACGTGACTAGTTGTCTTCATTTTCTATGTTTGTGGGTTCTAATCAGCACTGTGCATTGTGTAGCCAATGCGCGACTTCCGCGACCACCCCAGTTTGACCGTGTTAATATATAAACAAGTCAGGTATCAACTCGACCTTTGTCGGTATATATCTGGTACCTTCTATACCTGATAGCAATACAATCCAATTTAACAGTTATTTTAACATTAAAAACCCCACTCGTCTTTGATTCATTGCATGTGTTCAGAGTATGCCAGGTTCAGGTCTAGATAATAATAATAATAATAATAATAATAATAATAATAATAATAATAATAATAATAATAATAATAATAATAATAATGCATTTAAATGGTTTCCTCGCCTAGAAAACCAATGGTCACGTCAGAATGGTGCCATTCTGTCTGAGTACAGTAACTTTGTTTATGCAAATTAAATAGACGTTTCACATCAATTACACATTTGCTGAGACTAACGTTCGTGTCATTTTATTTTGAAATTTCATACGTCTAGTATGAAATTACATAGTACATTTACCCATTATTCCTTCAGCCATCCTCCCGTCCTCCCGTTATTGTTCTCTTCTTTGCTCTATTTTACCTTTCTTCTCCATTCCTACGTTTCTCCTTCTTTCTTTATTTCTGTTTTTTTTTTATTTTATTTTATAGAAGACTAGTAACTGTACATTATGATTCTTTCCTCAGAATTTAGATGCATGTTGGTTTTATTCTTGTTTACTCGCATGTCTTGTTTTCATCGAGTAATTTGTTCATATCTCTCGTAAATGAATTTTGGTATTTATTTATATATTCTTTATTCTTTCTCTCTTTAAAGCTACTATTATATTAATAATGAGTACTTAAAGGTAATAATGATGACTCATACTGCGCTTTCTATAATCCTATATTTTAACTTTAAAGCCCTTAATAATAATAATCCTTTTAAATATAATTGATTCTGATCAAACTGAAACATATTTGCTCGCGTGCTCTCGTGTGTGTGTGTGTGTGTGTGTGTGTGTGTGTGTGTGTGTGTGTGTGTGTGAATAGGAATAGATGCAAAGTTCGTCGGAAAACGCTTTTTATACATTTTATATACTGTTGGCATTTTCTTGTTATTTTTGTAAACTAAGTTAATCGTAAAAAAATTAAGCTTCTCTACTTATAAAATAAGCCAATTAATTTCTCATTTCTTTGTTACAGTGTAGCGCTATAAACTACGTACTTTTCTGTTGCAGAAAAAAATATTTCTCAAAAATATGTTAACCTTAATTTCACTGAACTGTGACAAAAAAAAGACAATCTTCCGACACACACACACACACACACACACTCACACACATGTGCGCGCGCCACTGGAAGGTGTCAATGAAGTTGCAATATTTAACACATAACATCGCTAAAATTTGCATGCGTTAGAGTGTGTATGATTTAGATTTTTAACGTAACTTTTAACAATTTTTCCGTAATATCGTTTCGATGTCTGCAGTGTGACAATTTATAGTGATGTCTAGCACTGGGGCATCATGCCGCAGACATGTGACATGATGTTCCACCCAATCACATTATCCTGACACCAGGCCAACCAGTCCTAACACTAACCTCAATTCTGAGAGCCAAGCGTTGCAGCTGTTGTTATAATTTTTTAAAGTCTTTGGTATGACTAGACCAGGGTTCGAACTCGCGACCTCCCTCATCTGAGTCTAACGCTCCAATTACTAGGCCACCCGAGCGGTTGGGAAAGGCAATTAGCTGCCAGTTTCATAGCATAATATAGCCAGTAATGTGTCAAATATACTGCTGGGAACCGACTTACCAAACCAAACACAATGGAAGTGACAAATGAGAAAATGACATTTCTTGTTTTATTACATATCAAAATAAAAGCTGTCAACTTGCCTTGATGAGCGTATTTCGGATAATCTATAAAACAAAATATGCAAAATATTTTTAAAAACAAAAATATTGTCGTCTCGATCCTAAATTTAGGGGTTCAGAAACCGGAATCTCTTGGGACTAATTCCCCAAGACCGGACTATCATGGGACTAATGCACATTAGGTCCAGCCATGCCCTTTATTTTAAAGCAAAACTTTTTCACCGCCTCTTTATTTTTCACTTCTACGACACAAACTTCTTTTCTTGTATTAACCTATCACAATATACTGCTACAAAAACTTGAATCATGTGAAGCGAGTACTCCATTTTAGATCAGTTTAATTTGACGGGAGAAGTGCGTGGGTGAATACGGCATACACGCTCTGGCAGTAAGAGAATACACGGTTGCTAATCCCTAATTAGTGTATTACCTCACGTGATACCTTGGTAGAAATAAGGAAAACTAAGCACCTGTATCTCATCAGCAAACATTTACAACTGAAGCTTGCCAGATTCGAGGTAAATACTAGTACTGTATGAATGAAAGGCAGCGTAGATTTTCTTGGGCCATTAAGTGCGGATACGGGATATAGTCTTGCAAATGTAAACCAATCCTTGACTCTTTCATTCTGCTCATTGTACGCAAATACATTGTTATGACCATTTCTACTATTGTGTTTAAATATAATTTACAAAGGTACACAAAGTGAAAGAGAACGAAAATTACCCGGACCAAATCAACTTGTATTATGATGCGAGGGAAAGTTACAATTTCAATCTGTGCTTCGTGATATCTCGTACGTTTCTCCCGCAGCGGTCGATTCTCAGAGGGGACAGATAGCATAGATGTGTGATAGATTTAACTTTCCATTTGAAGACTTTTGACACTTCATTTATCGCCGATTCTCCTTGCGATAATGTATGATTTGTTGACAGCTCTTCACGCCAATGAATCAGCGGTATTTCAGTATTTATACAGCCGAGATTATTAAATAGTTGTCAAGTTACATTTGCTAGATTTAAACCCATTGGGGTCAAATTGCTTCGAAAAGGCAAGTGGAATTGACAAACACGATTCAGTATTACAACTGTGCTACTACAGTCCTTGAATACATGGAATTTCAATTATATACAATTGTTGGTAACCCGTGCATCGATGGATAAGAATGAAGAGAAAATTATTTTTGTTAATGTCGTTGCAAACCTAGTGTTAACTTTAATTTATTGTTCTTTTGTACGGAGAGCAACTGTTATCTTTAATTTCTGATCTGAATGGACATATCGACACAATGGATCAACATAGGTAACCTGGAAGACTTTAAAAATGTTATATTCTTATATAGAAAATGACTGACATATAAAGAGCATACCTTAGTGGATGCTTGAAACTTTCTGTATTTTTACCCATAATGTGGACGTTATTCAGAATTACTCTTCTCAGGAGACATTGCGTCAATTGATTACTGGACATTGCGGGGCACGTAGCCAATCTTATTGTTTTGACAGGTTTGCACCTCCGCCTAAAATCTGGCATATTAGCGGTTATTTCCAAAGATGTGATTCTGAGGGATTAAAGTAAGTTTATTCTGTAATGTCGATTTGAAATAGAATGGGATTTATCTGCAAAGTTCAACGTGTTCAGGAAACAGGAGCTAAATCCGCATCCAACATATATCAACTTTGGTATAATTAAATTTTCTGTTCAGCAAAATGCTGCCATCAATTTTAAAGGTTTCAAATTCTAGCGTGTCAATTCATTAGTAAAGTTTGTAACGAGAGACATTAGTAATTCTTGAATGAAAGGTGACAATTTTAGTCATTCTCGAATGAATGGTGACAATGTAGATGACAGTTCTCAAATAAAAGTTGTCTTTCACGGATCACGTGTTTAACTAATAACATTTGCAATACATATAAAGTAGTCCACAAGAAGTATGTTGGCGATAAGAAATGAGTCAAAATGATGGCATGGACACTTACTTTTCTAAATTTTGTGTTGACATTGGTGACCTTGGCATTTGTTACCAAAGCATGCCCTCTCGTATGCTTCTGTCCGGCGGTGAGCCGTATTGTGTTCTGTGACAGAAAGAATCTAACCATCATTCCCTATGGTGTTCCGATGAACTCTGTTCAGCTAATAATGAACGACAATCAATTCCAGAATCCAGAACTTCAAAGGCTGAACCTTACTCGTTTAACAGAACTGGAACATTTGTATCTTCGGAACTGTGGTATTGAACAAATAGCCGTCAACGCTTTCGTGGATCTGAAAAGACTGAAATGGTTAGACCTCAGTAGCAACAGAGTGAGAGTAATTGAAAATTACACATTTCGGAATTTGAATTTAGAACATCTATTTCTTAACG